ATCATTCACCACTCAACATTCACCACTCAACATTCACCACTCTACACATCTCACTTATCACATCTCACTCATCATTCACCACTCTTCACTACAACCCTTATCACATCTCACTCATCATTCACCACTCTTCACTACACCACTTATCACATCTCACTCATCATTCCCCACTCTACACATCTCACTTATCACATCTCACTCATCCTTCACCACTCTACACATCTCACTTATCACATCTCACTCATCATTCACCACTCTTCACTACACCACTTATCACATCTCACTCATCATTCAGGCGCGGTGCGCAGAGCTTCCTGGAGCAACTGCGGCGCGCATGGCCGCCGCTGGGCCGCGGCTGCCTCTCGTGTGGCAGGCGCAGTACACAGAGCCTCTTGGTGGAGCTGCGGCGCGCGTGGGCGCCGCTGGGCCGCGGCTCGTTCTCGTGTGGCAGGCGCAGTACACAGAGCCTCTTGGTGGAGCTGCGGCGCGCGTGGGCGCCGCTGGGCCGCGGCTCGCTCTCATGTGGCAAGCACAGTACACAGAGCCTCTTGGTGGAGCTGCGGCGTGCGTGGGCGCCGCTTGGCCGCGGCTCGTTCTGGCGCAGTACACAAAGCCTCTTGGTGGAGCTGCGGCGCGCGTGGGCGCGGCTGGGCCGCGGCTCGCTCTCATGTGGCAAACACATGCAAACACAACACACAGAGCCTCCTGGTGGAGCTGCGGCGCGCGTGGCCGCTGGGCCGCGGCTCGCTCTTATGTGGCAAACACAGTACACAGAGCCTCCTGGTGGCTGCGGCGCGCGTGGGCGCCGCTGGGCCGCGGCTCGTTCTCGTGTGGCAGGCGCAGTACACAGAGCCTCCAGGAGGCGCTGCGGCGCGCGTGGCCGCCGCTGGGCTGCGGCTGCCTTGCGTGTGGCAGGCGCAGTACACAGAGCCTCCTGGAGGATCTGCGGCGCGTGTGGCGCCGCTGGGCCGCGGCTGCCTTTCGTGTGGCAGGCGCAGTACACAGAGCCTCCTGGAGGAGCTGCGGCGCGCGTGGCCGCCGCTGGGCCGCGGCTGCCTTTCGTGTGGCAGGCGAAGCACACAGCGCGTGGCCGCCGCTGGGCTGCGGCTGCCTTTCGTGTGGCAGGCGCAGTACACAGAGCCTCCAGGAGGAGCTGCGGCGCGCGTGGCCGCCGCTGCCTTTTGTGTGGCAGGCGCAGTACACAGAGCCTCTTGGACCAGCTGCGGCGCGCGTGGCCGTCGCTGGGCCGCGGCTGCCTTTCGCGTGGCAGGCGAAGCACACAGCGCGTGGCCGCCGCTGGGCTGCGGCTGCCTTTCGTGTGGCAGGCGCAGTACACAGAGCCTCCAGGAGGAGCTGCGGCGCGCGTGGCCGCCGCTGCCTTTTGTGTGGCAGGCGCAGTACACAGAGCCTCTTGGACCAGCTGCGGCGCGCGTGGCCGTCGCTGGGCCGCGGCTGCCTTTCGCGTGGCAGGCGCAGTACACAGAGCCTCCTGGACCAGCTGCGGCGCGCGTGGCCGCCGCTGGGCCGCGGCTACCTTTCGCGTGGCAGGCGCAGTACACAGAGCCTCCATGAGGAGCTGCGGCGCGCGTGGCCGCCGCTGGGCCGCGGCTGCCTTTCGTATGGCAGGCGCAGTACGCAGAGCCTCCACATCATTTTTGACACACTATATCTTTCTCACACCACTTTGTTACCCACCAACTTTGACACACCATCTGTCACACCACTTTGTCACACACCATCTTTCACACACAAATTTGTCTCACACCATCTTTCAGACACCATCCTTGACACACCAACTTTGACACACCATCTTTCACACCACTTTGTCCCACACCATCTTTCACACACAACTTTGTCACACACCATCTTGCACAAACCACTTTGTCACACACTATCTTTCACACACCACTTTGTCACACACCACTTTGTCATTCACACACCATCAACACCATCTTTCACACACCATCTTTGACACACCATCTTTCACACACAACTTTGTCACACACCATCTTTCACACACCACTTTGTCACACACTATCTTTCACACACCACTTTGTCACACACCATCTTTCACATCACTTTTTCACACACTATCTTTCACACACCACTTTGTCACACACCATCTTTCACACGCCATCTTTCACACACAATCTTTCACACACCGCTTTGTCACACACCATCTTTCACATCACTTTTTCACACACCATCTTTCACACATCACTTTGTCACACACCATCTTTCACACACCATCTGTGACACACCATCTTTCACAGCACTTTGTCACACACCATCTTTCACACACGTTACAGACCATCTTTCACACTTCATCTTTCACACACCACTTTGCCACACACCATCTTTCACACACCATCTTTCACACACAACTTTGTCACACACCATCTTTGACACCACATCTTTGACTCACACCATCTTTCACACACGGTCACAGACCATTTTTCACACACCATCTTTCACACACAACTATGTCACACACCATATTTGACACACCATCTTTCACACACAACTTTGTCACACACCATCTTTCACCACACCATCTTTCACAAACCATCTTTCACCACACCATCTTTCACGCAGACAACTTTGTCACACACCATCTTTCCTCCACCTCTTCCTTTGTCTATCCTTCCTTCCCCGTCCCCGCAACAACATTTCTTGCTCATTATTGGAAGAAGTTGACTTGTGGGGTTATCCGGTCCTTTTATTTTTCACTCTGCATCCGCCGCTCCATCCGCCTCCGTGCCGCCTCCGCGCCGCCTCGTCTTAGCCTCTCACACCACACACACCACCACTCATCTCACACCACTCATCACATAGTATTCATCTGACACCACTTATCACACAGCACTCATCTGACACCATTCATCACAGCACACTCATCTCATACCCTTGCCACACAGCGGCTGGCTTTCGTGTGGCAGGCGCAGTACACAGAGCCTTCTGCCGTTCGTGTGGCAAGCGCAGTACACAGAGCCTTCTGGAGGAGCTGCTGCGCGCGTGGGCGCCGCTGGGCCGCGGGTCGCTTTCGTGTGGCAGGCGCAGTACACAGAGCCTTCTAGCTTTCGTGTGGCAGGCGCAGCGCCACTGGGCCGCGGCTGGCTTTCGTGTGGCAGGCGCAGTACAAAGAGCCTTCTGGAGGCTTTTGTGTGGCAGACGGGCTTTTGTGTGGCAGGCGCAATATACAGAGCCTTCTGGAGGAGCTGCTGCGCGCGTGGGCGTCGCTGGGCCGCGGCTGGCTTTTGTGTACAGTAGCTTTTGCGTGGCAGACAGGCTTTTGTGTGGCAGGCGCAATACGCAGAGCCTTCTGGAGGAGCTGCTGCGCGCGTGGGCGCCGGGCCGCGGCTGGCTTACGTGTGGCAGGCGCAGTACACAGAATTTTCTGGAGGAGCTGGTGCGCGCGTGGGCGCCGCTGGGCCGCGGCTGGCTTTTGTGTGGCTTTTGTGTGGCAAACGGGCTTTCGTGGGAAAGGCGAGTGCACAGAGTCTCCTGGAGGAGCTGCTGCGCGCGTGGGCGCCGCTGGGCCGCGGCTGGCTTTTGTGTGGCAGACGGGCTTTCGTGGGAAAGGTGCAGTACACAGAGCCTCCTGGAGGAGTTGCTGCGCGCGTGGGCGCCGCTGGGCCGCGGCTTGACATGTGGGGTTATTCGGTCCTTTTATTTTATATTCGTTCAATATTCGAAATATTGTGCTTCATTCTTAGAGGGCTTGGGTTCTGTGAAAATGAATCCATGGATTCAAATAAGAATCTTCTCTGATCCCCTTGTGAATTAAGTGAAAGTGTTGGAATGAGCAATTTCATAGTGATAAACCTGGAGACATTGACCATCTTTTTGCTCCAAGTTTCAGTGTCAACTTGTTTTCAACATGAAATCTCTATAGAATCGCTGACACCAAGATCCTCTATAAAATTGCAAACGTTGACACTGGGTAGGTACCCCTAAAACAAAGGAGGGCCCTAAAACGCACCATTTTCCCAAGCTTAACTGTTGCGATTTTGTAGAGGAAATTGCAAGGAGGATCTTCTCTGTATTTCTCTGTTGCTTTTTCACGGTCTTTGTATTCCGTAATTGTAGCCTCAACATTCGATGAATCTTGGTGGTGGGCTTGAAATGCTCTCTGAGGGTGGGCAGTTCTTTGTGGTCCCACGATTTGACAAGGGGCTCACAACTTCTGAATGCCAAAGTACGGTGAACAGTGAAAAAGTGGAAACCTTCAAAGTGTGGTCCTGATGAACCCCAAGCCTTTTTGCAACAATCTCTATCCCACTGCATTGTACTGATTGGTTAATTAGTTATTACGGTCAATTAGTATCCCTATTCTAGATTATAATCGCAAATTATCCACCACTACAACAACCAAGGAACACGGACATTTTTGGTAGAATCTAAACATTGTTAAACATAAATCATACTAATCATACCCAACTCTTTTACTATTCCCCCTCTTTGTAGCACACGATTCTAATGATCAGTTGTGGCTCAATTTGCAACAGAGGTTCTGGCCACTCATCTAGCATACCCCCTCAATGATACGTTCCCACCTCGATCCTCAGACTCAAGTACTGCGGCGCAAAGCATGGCATGAAGGTCCCTGGCAGCCAACATCAAAACAGTGTCCAGCCTGGTGGGTGAAGCAATAATCCAAAGAGGGCAAAGGCATCATCCCCTTTTCTGTTCACGCGCAAAGGATCAGCCTGCAGGTGCTTGTCATATGCGGATTTTGTTGGTAAAAACCCAATCAACGGAGATAGTTGAGGATAGTTGATTGGTGAAAGACAACAATGCTGAAGAAGAACGCAGATTTGATTGACAGATATTGACAGGGTTTCCGCAACTACGCACATGGCGCGGGCCCGCACGAATTAACACATCGGAACTCCCAAGCGTGGATTGACATACTGTACTTGAAACACTGCACCCTCTTTTGTCAATCCTTGGGGATCAAGTAGTGTACATGGCTCACTGAGCTGTTCACATCATGACACCTTTCAGGACTGCTTCTTGCAAGCAACGGGTAGCTTGAGCTTGAACTTCTTCACTGCAACAGCAGTCCCCGCAGTCAAAGCCACAGCCACCAAACTAATCCCGCCGATCATGTAGTTGCTGGTGAATTTCAAGTCCAATGGAGTAGGCATGAAGAAGCATAAAGCGACAAGCACAGCAACCAAAGCTGCGATGCCAACAGCAGCGAAAATGCCAACGCGGATTTTGGTCTTCTCCACCTACAGGACAACATGAGCTCGGCAATGCCAGCATCACTAGCGGTGCACAGGCCAAACAGAAAAAACACATGTTGTCTTGAGGAAGCAACTTCAAGGGGCCAAGGGATCACTCAAAAGCACATACAAAAATCCTGCAAGGATAACAGCGCCCTCGGACCTGTAAACGATTGAGGACATGAGGTGACATGTGCTAGACTACTAGACGAAAGGGTCAATATGTGTCAATATGTGTCAATTCTTGAGATCTTGAAGAATCAATCGGCAAAAACACAAAAAAAACGCCACCAACAACCCAAAGTGGCCCTCTCCTTGTCAGTCTTGGTCTCAGAGCTTTTCTCCACCTTGGAAACTTTCTCCGCACTCGGGCTGGGTTTCACCACCTCCTTGTCTTCGTTGGCTTTTGATGTCTTGGGGGCGGGTGATGCGGCCCGAGATTTCTTCACAGTGCCCACGTCATTCTCCATAGTGCTTTCCTTGGCCGCAATGGAAACGAACACACCAAGATACATCATGATTCATCATCATTCTACATCAATAGGGTACGCAAACCGCTACCGCCTGGAACTACAAAGGTAGTTGCCAAAAGAGGGGCCCCGTTACTGTGAGTGATGAGAGGTAGTAGCACTTGCAAACCATACGTGGTGACGGGATTCTGAAGCAAACCTACAACAAAGACGCTTTGGAGCAAACACCACCTACTCACCAAGTCTCAAATGCGGGAGTCTCAGCGGCAAGCGGAGCCATTCCGAAGGACTGGAACTTGCGACGGGAATGTGAGCGGAGACTTTTTGGAGCTGGGAGCCGATACTGGCACCATCATGTATCAAGATCACTTGTGATGTGCTTTGATGTGATTTGGCCGTACTTGCTCATAGTCCTCTTGAATTAAGCTGCATAAATTACATCATGTCACGAGACGCTACGTCTCCTTTCCATCGACCAGATTGTTTCCAATATGTCTCCAAGTTCTTTCAAAAGATTCCGAATCTGAAAGTAAGGCTCAGCCGGCTACCCTCACAAATGGATGCAAATATTGACCATCGTGGTGGTTCGTGGAAGTCTGAATGAACTCTGAAAAACCTCTCAACTTTTCTTGCTGCGACATGTGGACCATTGCGGACCCTCACTCGCCACATTCTTGCAAACATGATGTGTGCAACTTCTGTGGCAAGCATCAGAATGTAAGTGACCGAGTGGGTCGGTGTCTTGCCAACTGAACCCAGCACAAACAAGCGATGTAGACTGAAAGGAGCGTTCACTTTACCTCCAGGACCAGTTCGAATATCGAACTGGCCCCCAACAAAGTCAGAAAGTACATGGAAATAAATGTAACACGATGAAGCAACAGCTAGTATCTGCTATCACTTTAGTAGGCGCTATGGACGGTATGGAGGTGGCTAGGAACTTCCATCAACGGTCTTTATGCACACGGTGGTGCCAAAGTATAGTCATTGGCACCCACACCCAATGCACGAATTAACACATCGGAACTCCCAAGCGTGGATTGACATACTGTACTTGAAACACTGCACCCTCTTTTGTCAATCCTTGGGGATCAAGTAGTGTACATGGCCCACTGAGCTGTTCACATCATGACACCTTTCAGGACTGCTTCTTGCAAGCGACGGGTAGCTTGAGCTTGAACTTCTTCACTGCAACAGCAGTTCCCGCAGTCAAAGCCACAGCCACCAAACTAATCCCGCCGATCATGTAGTTGCTGGTGAGTTTCAAGTCCAATGGGGTAGGCATGAAGAAGCATAAAGCGACAAGCACAGCAACCAAAGCTGCGATGCCAACAGCAGCAAAAATGCCAACGCGGATTTTGGTCTTCTCCACCTACAGGACAACATGAGCTCGGCAATGCCAGCATCACTAGCGGTGCACAGGCCAAACAGAAAAAACACATGTTGTCTTGAGGAAGCAACTTAAAGGGGCCAAGGGATCAAGCAAAGCACATACAAAAATCCTGCAAGGATAACAGCGCCCTCGGACCTGTAAACGATTGAGGACATGAGGTGACATGTGCTAGACTACTAGACGAAAGGGTCAATATGTGTCAATATGTGTCAATTCTTGAGATCTTGAAGAATCAATCGGCAAAAACACAAAAAAACGCCACCAACAACCCAAAGTGGCCCTCTCCTTGTCAGTCTTGGTCTCAGAGCTTTTCTCCACCTTGGAAACTTTCTCCGCACTCGGGCTGGGTTTCACCACCTCCTTGTCTTCCTTGGCTTTTGATGTCTTGGGGGCGGGTGATGCGGCCCGAGATTTCTTCACAGTGCCCACGTCATTCTCCATAGTGCTTTCCTTGGCCGCAATGGAAACGAACACACCAAGATACATCATGATTCATCATCATTCTACATCAATAGGGTACGCAAACCGCTACCGCCTGGAACTACAAAGGTAGTTGCCAAAAGAGGGGCCCCGTTACTGTGAGTGATGAGAGGTAGTAGCACTTGCAAACCATACGTGGTGACGGGATTCTGAAGCAAACCTACAACAAAGACGCTTTGGAGCAAACACCACCTACTCACCAAGTCTCAAATGCGGGAGTCTCAGCGGCAAGCGGAGCCATTCCGAAGGACTGGAACTTGCGACGGGAATGTGAGCGGAGACTTTTTGGAGCTGGGAGCCGATACTGGCACCATCATGTATCAAGATCACTTGTGATGTGCTTTGATGTGATTTGGCCGTACTTGCTCATAGTCCTCTTGAATTAAGCTGCATAAATTACATCATGTCACGAGACGCTACGTCTCCTTTCCATCGACCAGATTGTTTCCAATATGTCTCCAAGTTCTTTCAAAAGATTCCGAATCTGAAAGTAAGGCTCAGCCGGCTACCCTCCCAAATGGTCAAGGGGTCATCCGCGCACGCAAATCCAGGTCACATGTACACACAGAGACCTTTTTCGAGCCTTACGGTCACCTGCGCACGAAGTGACGGTCACATGTACACACCAGCGAGACCCACGGTCACATGTACACACAGGTGCGGTCATCTGCGCACGCAAGTGACGGTCACATGTACACACATGTGATCGTCACCCGCGGTCACATGTACACACCACTACTCTGGATATGGGGTGGGTTGGGGTGATAACGTTCATGTTTCTGTGCACGCACAGGCGCAGCAACCTTATCATCTTTCTTGCTGTTCAGCAGACACAGTCATTACTCTTTCATGATCCGTTACTGGTGGGGTTGGGTGGGGTGGGGTGGGGTAATAACGTTCATGTTTCTGTGCACACACAGGCACAGCAACCTTATCATCTTTCTTGCTGCTCAGCAGACACAGGCACTACTCATCCCTGCGTTCCACTAAACCGTTGTCTCCATTTTACTTCTTTATTTAAACTTCCCCCCATGCGTTCCACTAAACCATTGTCTCCATTTTACTTCTCTATTTAAACTTCCCGCCCCCTGCGTTCCACTAAACCATTGTCTCAATTCTACTTCTTTATCCACTAAACTACTGTCTCCATTTTACTTCTTTATTTAAACTTACCCCCCCCTGCGTTCCACTAAACTATTGTCTCCATTTGACTTCATTATTTAAACTTCCCCCCCTGCGTTCCACTGAACTATTGTCTCCATTCTACTTCTTTATTGCAACTTCCCCCCCCTGCGTTCCACTAAACCATTGTCTCCATTTTACTTCTTTATTTAAACTTTCCCCCCCTGCGTTCCACTGAACTATTGTCTCCATTTTACTTCTTTATTTAAACTTCCCCCCCTGCTTTCCACTAAACCATTGTCTCCATTCTACTCCTTTATTTAACCTCAACTCCCCCCCCTGCGTTCCACTAAACCATTGTCTCCATTTTACTTCTTTATTTAAACTTCCCCCCCTGCGTTCCACTGAACTATTGTCTCCATTTTACTTCTTTATTTAAACTTCCCCCCCCCTGCGTTCCACTAAACCATGGTCTCCATTCTACTTCTTTATTTCAACTTCCCCCCCTGCGTTCCACTGAACTACTGTCTCCATTTTACTTCTTTATTTAAACTTCCCCCCCCTGCGTTCCACTGAACTACTGTCTCCATTTTACTTCTTTATTTAAACTTCCCCCCCCTGCGTTCCACTAAACTAAAGATAGATGGATACATAGATAGATGGATAGATAGATAGATTAGATTAGATTAGATTAGGTTAGATTAGATTAGATTAGATCAGGTTCGATTAGATTAGAATAGATTAGGTTGGATTAGATTAGATTAGATTGATAGATAGATAGAGAGATAGAGAGATAGAGAGATAGAGAGATAGAGAGATAGATAGATAGAGAGAGAGAGAGATAGAGAGATAGAGAGATAGAGAGATAGAGAGATAGAGAGATAGAGAGATAGAGAGATAGAGAGATAGAGAGATAGAGAGATAGAGAGATAGAGAGATAGAGCGATAGAGAGATAGAGAGATAGAGAGATAGAGAGATAGATAGATAAGCAGGTAAATACATACATAGATAGCTAGCTACCTAGATAGAAAGATACATAGATAGATAACGTACATTAAAGACATTTCTTATTCGCGTGTAGTTGCGACCATGGCCGCACAGATAGCCTGCTTAAACCAACTTCCACGCATGGCTGCAGATAGAAACAGCACATATACCACAAGTTTCGATTTTCATTGTATTTTACAAGGAAAAATGCACGTCTCCTATTCGCGTGTAGTTGCGAACTTGCCCGCGTGTACATGCGACCATCTCCCACAAGTCGTTCGCGTGTACATGCGACCTTTGTTTCGCGTGTACATGCGACCCCCCGACCCCTAAAACGATTTCCATACAATGGTTCTAAGGGAACTCGCGGCATCTTTGTGCAAGGATTCTTTTGAAAACCAACTCACAAGCACTCTGTACAAAGAATTCTTGAAAGCTTGAACTTGAAAGTTATCCACAAAATTTACGAGGAGCCTTTATACCTGGCTCCAGAAACGGGAGCGCTGCGACGGCAAAAGCAAACTTTTCGATGAGGTCAAAGTGATACACCTTTTGCGCGAGACTCCGCGGCCAAAACGAATATCGAAATCTTGGAAGGAACTCTGGGGTGAGACTGTCGATGAAAAACGCACAGCCGGTTGTGCGAACCCTCAAACAAACCCAGCCTGAACAGTTTCAGTAAGAACCCATTAGCGTGGACACGTTGCTTGGGAATTTGCACCCACACGCAAAAAAATAGAATAAACGGTACCTCATCCAGGCGCGCCAAGTCCACAAGGCGACAAGTAAATCGTGGGCCCACCGCTGAACACTCCAAAGCTGCATCAACCTGATCGCAGAGTCGGAGTCACATGTCAACCCGGCTTTGCTTTGCGCGTCACACTGTCAGGAAGGGAAACGTGTCACAAGAAACACCAGGAAGTAGATGCGATTAGCCTACCAAATTTGCACGCTGAAAATCGGTGTTTCCAAGTGGCGCCGAAGTGGTCAGAAGCAAGTTCTTGCAGTTCTTCCCGCAAGGAAGAAGCCAGAGTTGCATCACCATATGCCTTTGGCACAAAGTGAAGGCCCAAGTGAAGATTGCATTCAAAATGCTTCTCAGCACTATGCTATACTCCTCAGCACTGGTTGAACCTTGCAAATCTACCCAATTCTGACACGCTGCCAGAATGGGTGGAAAGCATCAAGAAACTATACATGTCGACCCCAACATCCACGCACCCCTGCCTCAAGGGAAAAAAAACCTAAAAGTACAACACACATCAAACCCACCAAAGGCTTTGACATGCTTTGACTATGATTAGGCTTTTATCTTTTGTTGCCGAAACATGTGAAAACACTGGCTTCAGAGCCGCTCCGACACCTCTGCTGCCAAGACCTCCAGGACGCGCTGTCGCAGCAAACGCTCACCACGAGCTGGTGCAGCTAGAGGCAATGGCGACCCTGTGGGCACCGTCGCTTGGCCACGCCACACGATGACCAAATAGACCTCCACAACAGGACATAGAAACTCACACACAACCTACAAAGCATACAAAACGTACAAAACAAAAACACATCAGCATACTCTTCCACAATCTTGCACAACTTTGCACACGTTTGTGCACACACATCATTGCAGTACCATTGCACTGACCATTATCTCAATCAGTGAACCCCTCCCAAACCAGTTGGGGGGCACAACATTGCACCTGCATCCCAACCACTGGGTCCACGTTAGGAATCCTGGAAGTGATGTGAAAGCAACGGCGCTTCTGTCCGTGCGGCCACACCCTCGTTGCATCACCGCCACAGCACAAACAACATCAAACAACAAGCAGCGCAAAGTCCTGCACAATACAGCGGCACGAAGCGCTGTGGCGGTGGCAGCGAGCGAGGGGTGGTAGGACAATTGAGCAGCAGCTTCCGCTGGATGAGAGAACCGATAAACCCAGACCTTGCTTTGCGATCGTTGAGTTTTGAACTGTGCTGCTGAGGCGTCGCTTATGCGCATGAGCAGTCAGAACACGTCAGAACACCTATGCGACCGATGCGTGCTACACCTTGAAGGAGCAAAGACTGGGAACCAAAAAAAATCCTTCGACCCTGTCCTCTTCCTAAATCCTGGGCTGTGCTTGAACGTATGCATGCGGCTGTTCACCACAGATCAGCTCTGCATTCCTTTGGCATTAATTGGTTTGTAGCCTGGTCTTGTCTGAGAAACGAGGAGAATGGCAGCCTACCAGCCAGCGGATGAGCGACCCAGCGTTTCGGGAGAGGAGTATAAGCTAAGCATTTTGGGGTTTGTACATACCATCGTATTATTTACAATATCTCCAAGCCATAGTTTTCAGTATCATTAACGGATTTTTTTTGCTTATTTTTCGGTTAAATTGCGTGATGTGCCAAAAATTTATGGAATTTATTCCGGGTGGCATTGCATGTTGACTTGAGAAGCGGCATTGTTCTTCCATGAAAATGAAAGCACGAAGCTGCAAAGCGTAAATGGAGCTGGGCGCACCAACAAATTGACAAAACTAGGTTGCGCCGTGACGAGTGGCCTGTGGGTGGCGGCGGCACTTTTATCCTTCATGGTCTCCATTTGCAAATCTTTCCCATTTCTTTTCACATATGTGCAGGTGTGAATTTGTCATTAACATTTTTGCTGCGCCCCCGCGCCCACTGAAAAACTTTCTCTTTCAGGTGAGGGTTGACCACGCTATGCTCTTTGGACTTTTTTTGAAATTCAATTGCTTTAAGAAGTCACTTTTTCAGGACACCCAAGCTCTGTCAAGACATTGGGTGCCACCCACTTTGCTCAGCCCCCTGACAGCGAAATG